TGGAAGACTAATTTTAAACTGGTTGCAGTGTTCATTATCAGACTTCCACAAAATATTGTTTGGCCTAAAAATGTCTGAGTGCATGCAAGAGAGGAAAGACTGTTGTATTTTGAATATTATTTTAGCATCTTGGTACATAACAACAAGGTGTTTTTCTACAACTGGGAGCTGCTGGTTAACATCTCAAAGCTCAATTAATTCCACAACTACAGCCCCAAATCCACAATGAGTTGAAAAGGAGGTGCCACGGATGCATTCCCATCTACCTGGAGGCGGTGCTCAAGTGGCATGAACTGTGGCTTGTGACAGCGGGTGGACCGGGATCGTTCCTCTGCATCTGCAGCTTGCTGTTGGTGATGAGGGGCTCGACAGGCTGCTGGAAGTAGTGACCGTCTCTCGGGGAGTTCTGCCCGGCATTCAGGCAGTCCTGCTGCCCAAGAGGACCGAGAAGTCTGCTGGATCCAGGTGGACGGATCAACATCTGTGGCCAGTTTCTTCAGATCCACTGTGGGATGGACCACTACAAGAGATCCTTCTTGCACAAAGCCATCAGCATCTGTAACAACTCTTAATGAAACAACGATGATGAGCTACAACAGTTAATTTCCCTTTGGGATTAATAAAGTCTTTTTGAATTGAATTGAATGAGGTTTATTTTATTATTTGGTTTGGTTTAAAACTTGTCTTTGACTGTGAGTCAAACTCAATTTACGCTTGAAGAACAGACTGACACAAAGAGTGATAATGTGCACCTCTGCATTGCAGAGATGCGACCCTTAACAGTGAAAAACTTTATTGGTATATGTTATCACTATTTTAATCATCTTATTGAAGGCTTAAAATCTCTGGGCCTACAGGTAGACATTGGAGTGGTGGAAGGGCTGAAAAAAGCAATCAGTGTGCAGACATGTAAAGGTTATGGTGGCAGAAGTAGCATAGATATGCAGAATTTTGCAGCTTTAACAGATTGTTCAGATTGGAAGGGTATATTTAATTTGTTATTGGTTCCACGGCGTGTGAGATCACATGTGAAGTGGCAGTTATTTGCCAAAATTGGCTTGTAGA